GAAAAGGATTGGCTCTGAGGGCTGGGTGCATAGCGCCAGTGCGTTCTTCGTTGGTCGGAGCTGTGCGGGCCCGTTCGTGCTTCGCGGCGCGTCTGTGGACCGCCGGCACTGACTGCGTTGTGACCCTTGGTCTGCGTGCACAGTGAACAGCTAACTCAGAACTGGAGCGGACAAGGGGAATCCGACTGTTTAATTAAAACAAAGCATTGCGATGGCCGCAAACGGTGTTGACGCAATGTGATTTCTGCCCAGTGCTCTGAATGTCAATGTGATGAAATTCAACCAAGCGCGGGTTAACGGCGGACGTAACTATGACGTGGAAAATTTTGCTTGCTGGGTTTTTGGAGTGAGTGGTCCTCCCCAAAGAAAAAGGAAAGAGATAGTTTGTAGGGAGCCTCAGCTCCTACGGCACGCCCAAAGTCTAGGGCCAACCGTTTTCACTCGCCATAACATACATCTACTACCGAGAGTGACTAAGTATGTGGAAAATTTTGCTTGCTGGGTTTTTGGAGTGAGTGGTCCTCCCCAAAGAAAAAGGAAAGAGATAGTTTGTAGGGAGCCTCAGCTCCTACGGCACGCCCAAAGTCTAGGGCCAACCGTTTTCACTCGCCATAACATACATCTACTACCGAGAGTGACTAAGTATAAGTGCATCATTTGTGTACTATTCACTGCATGTTGGCTGTGCGAGAGCGATTTCCTCCTCGCGCCCGCCTTGATCCATTGTCAGCCACGTGAAAACCCCAGATCTGATTGCTGTATCGGATACAGTCAGTGCTAATGATCCGTTGTAATACCCATGCGGTGCGTTCGGCGATGCCTAGATCTTGTGTAAGCACCTTTCTATTGTCTTGCGCTATACAGCCCAGCGAGCCGTAGACGAGCGCATGCACTGATACCCGGTATCCACGTTGCTCATAGTGGGTCTTGAGATCCTTGTACTTCTCTTCCTTGTGAATGGCGGCGGAGCCGAACGAGTTTTTCTTGTAGTCTTCAAAGACTACCGCTACATCTGCGATTGTCATTGTCTTCCTCTTTTCGTCGCGCAGAATAATGTCTGGTCTCAAGCGTGTTTCCATATCATCCGGGCACTTGTCGATCAGTAAGGTTTTCCCCCTGTTGACTGCGCTCTGTGTAATGGCCGTTGTGATCCGCTCCAGTACTTTGTTGTGGCGCATTTTTATTTTGCTGTCCATACTGTGCGGGCAGTGGTTAAGGATGTGCGCGAGGGTTTCAGGGTCAGCTGTACAATGGCGGCAACGGGCTAGCTTTGTTACCCCAATGCGTTTGAGGTAATGCCGTGTGGGGAGCTGCGCAGATCTCGCCCTGATGGCGAAGATGACGTCTTCGGGCTTCAGACGAGACGGCCCCCGTAGAAACGCGTTACTATCCGCCGTCTGGTAAGCCACCGATTTTCCTTGATCCACCTGCTCTTTCCACACATCCCGCTGCCATTCCGCCATATGCTGTTTAATACTCCTAATGAGCTGCTTCTGGTCGAGAGCGGCGCCATCTGCTTTCTGAAGCACATAGCGACCATTAACCCCAGTTGCGAGTCGCGTCTTGCTCATCGCGATATTACCTGGGAGTTCTGACCAGAGGCTTCTTATATCCGCTTTCTTGCTTCTCCGTCGTAGACAGCCGATATCTTTGCCGTTGAGAAAGGCAAGAATAGCCTCTCGGTCGCTAGTCTCGTCATCTGGTGTGTAGACAAATGCCCGCTTAATGACCTCCAGCACCTGTCCTTCTGCAACCGCTCGGATCGTGTCATCAGGGCTGTTGAGCATTTGGATAGCATGTCCAATCTGCGTTGCAGCGGCCATCGTCTGTATAGAGGTACAACCCAAACCGCCATTGGGAATCGGCTGGTGAAATACCTCTTTGCTCGTGCTCTTTGGGAGCTTGAAGGCTGCCTTCAGGGCGGCACGGACGTAGACATCGAATGCGACCAGTTGTTGTTTATATGGGTAGCAATGCCTGAGATAATAGTCCAATCGGGACATCACGAAAGTGCGCAGCGCATCGAGTTTCTGCCACGGGAGAAGTTCTGACCTGAGGAGCTTGTTCAAATCCTTCTTGATTCTGCTCATGGCTCGAAGGATTTGGCTCTGCTGGACTGGTGATTCCAGCGCATCTTTGATGCCCAGGTATTTATAGGCTTCTCCCAGCTTCACCACTGGTAAGACCTCGTAGTGTAGGGTGAGTTTGACGGGGTCTGGTACCTGCTTGGCCTTTTGCACCTTCAGTCCCAGCGTTGCGCATTTAGACGGGTTGGCCTTAAGTCCCGTCCATTGAAGAAAATCTTCCACCACCTGGTGGAGTTTGCTGATACCTACGCGTGTAGCGGCCACCGTCTTGAGGTCATCTGCATACGCCATATGCGAGACTTTCACCTGTGGCTTCCCATCTGTCGTACGCAGTTCAAGGCCTTCATTGCACGCCGCTAGCCGCTGCAGCAGAGGCTCAATGGCAAGGTTGAAGAGGATGGGGCTGAGCGGGCAGCCTTGTTTGACTCCCCGCTGGTTGACTATGCGACCAGTGCAGCCCTCCTTCGTCAAGATGCAGAAGCTTGCTCCTTGATAGAGGTCCATGATGACCTCCTGGGCATGCTTCGGTAGCCGTTGAGCCTGTAAGACAACGTGTATGAGCTGGTGGGAGATGGATCCAAAGGCGTTCTGCAAGTCGTAGTAGGTCATGTACAGCGGTTTCTTGCTCCTGCGCGTAGAGTTGAGAATGCTTTGGGCGAGAAATAGGTGCTCATGGCACCCGTTCACTGGCATGAATCCCTTCTGCGACTTGGAAGCGACGCCGCTCTTGATTGCCCAGGCGGCAATCTTCTGAGCCCACAGTGCTGCGTAGAGTTTGTATATGCAGTCCTGTAGATTAATTGGTCGCCAATTCTTCACGCTTTTTGGGTCCCCCCCCTTGGGAATTAGCACCGTCACGCTCTCCTTCCACTTCCTTGGCACTTGCCTGTGCTTGGAGCACGCGTTGTAGATCGCGGACATGGCTGGGATTAGCACATCTGCGAACTGCTTGTACACTGAGAACCTTATCCCATCTGGCCCTGCTGCAGATCTAAGGTTGCTTTTCAGCAGCTGAGCTCGCACATCCTCTTCAGTGAAGGTTGCATCAATCCCTTGCGCTCCTAGTGGAGCCGCCGCCAGAGGGTCCAAGAACTCGTGCGCAAGTTTGGATGTGGGATCAATAGCCTGCTCCGAGTGCTGTTCTCTGAAGTGTGCCTCCAGCTCGCTGAGCTGGATAGGGCAATCGTGGCTTTGGGACTGGTCTTCGTCAGCTAGAAGTTGCTCCACGCACTTCTTTCGGTCTCGCATGTAGAGTGTTTGGAGTTTATGTGCTGACTCTTCTTTCAGGATGCTGATGAGGCGGCGACGCGCTGTTCGTAGTTGTCTTTCGAGTGCTCGCTTCTTCATTTTGGCTTCTATCGAGTCGGTTGGTTTGCCCTGCTGAGCCCTTTCCTCCTCCCGGAGGGCATGCAACGCCTTTGTGACGTTGTCCTGCGCTTGGGCCAGTCTTGGCGATACGCGTGCCGTTGGGGTTGCTTGGTGTTTGCCGTTCTGGGAGTGCTGCTTCCTCGGCCCGTCCTTTTGGGCTGCTGGTGGGGCCTTGTCAGCGAACCAAATTGCGTCATATAGTCGTTCTGTGAAACCGTTGATTACGGCTTCAGCTTCCTCCCAAGTGCCTCCGCTGACCTTCTCTGCTGTCTCCTTTGCAAGTTCTTCCAGGGTTTTTTGTAGCCTTGCGCGGGAATCTGCGGAGAGTCGGGGGATGCGGAGTGGTTTGCGGCGTGAGATGGGCTCATTCCGCTGTGCTGTCGTCTCCGGTGGGTTGTTGGTCTGCAGTAACTGGCTGCTTCGCTCTGTTGTCGTCTGCAGATTCTGTTGAGTTGGCGGTGTTGTCTCTTTGTCCTCCAGTGTTGGAAGGTCTGCTGCTGATGTAGGTCCAGCCCATGGGGGGTATGGGGAGGACAGGGGTGGGTGTTTCCTGTGCTGTTTCCTCTTTGGGGACCTCGACAGAGCCGCCTGTGAGGTCCTACCCCCTCCATGGTCTTCTGTGCGCTGTCCTCGGCTTCTTTTGGTGCTGAGATCGGGGGACGTTGGCACATTCTGCTGTTGGTTGATAACTTCTGCGTGTAATTTTGCGCAAGGGTTGTTTGTGCCCCGTCGTAGGTGTTGGGCCAACCCCCGTTTGGTAGCAAACGATCTGCCGCAGTTAGGGCAGCAGGTGGGCTGTTCCTCCTCCCTCCCGATTGCTGCTTCCTGATCGGGAGAAGGATCCCCTGCCACGACACAATCCCCCTGGATGTCGTCGGCCGCAGCTGCGACGACGCTGCTGC